TATACATGTAAACTACAATATGATATATCGGAGTGTAACTATTTCTATAAATTTCATTTACACTACTCACTAGTCTTTATAGACTACAAGTCTACAACTAATAATTACATGAGCAAAGTCTAAGATATAAAATATATAGGGGATTAACTAACATATTTCTTAATATAAACACACATGGCATGCCAATGGCTATCAAATAGTGTGAGTGGCCATTGATATTGTTCTGCATTTTTATAATGATACGTTTCATCAGCAAATATATGGTAATATATTCGAGACGCATAACTGTGTAAAATTCGATATGTTATTTACATATTTAATATACTATTCATGAGACTGACCTGACACGGAGGTGATTCAAACAGCGCTGTCTTCACAGTTCACATCGCGGGAAATGCAAATCATGCCAATAATCGCACACCAAAAGCTTTCGATCAGAATTCTTTCGCGCACCTTTTCGTTAAATGAAACACGTTTACATTCGTTCATTATACACAGAAGATCGTGGAGTCATGTAGAAGCCGCCATATCTTTCTCCTTGGAACGAGCGGCGATTAAAATTTACCGACTATTCGATTACAACGAGGAGCCGACACGACAATAACAAGCCAGCATCGCTCTGAAGTCGATGCGACTATTGCAAACAGTAGCATTTTGCCTCATTCTGATTGGCTTACTTCGTCTAACCGTAGCAAACCAATCAGCACGCCGTATTTGCGAATTTTTGCAACGGTCAGTTTCAATCTGACCACTGCAAAAATTTCCAAATACAGCGCTATGATTGGTTTGTTACGGTTAGACGAAGCAAGCCAATCACAATGAAGCAAATGCTACGACTTCAGAACGATGTGATATAGTACTAGTGCAAAACCCGCAAATACAGGCAATATTTCGGGCGGAAATTTGAGAAAAACCCGAATTTAATTATCCAAAATGAAATAAAAACTCGATAAAATTGTATCAATATGATTTAGTAAATTTTAAAAAAATTGCACCGAGTTTCAATGAAAAAATGAAAATAACGGCAATTAAAAATAGTCTAACGTTTTAGTTTTTAATAACTTTAAAAAAGGTACAACCTGGAAAAATACGTTGCTACGGTTGCAACGGTCTGAATCCGCCCCTGTGATTGTCCATTGGATAATCAGATATCGACTGGATGATCAGTATTCCGGACACAAGCTCGTATCCAGGCCATTTGGTGTCCCATGCATTCGCGTGACGAGCGCTAGACTTGCCCACAAGTCGATCCCGAATATATAGTGAGCGAAGAACCCGCGAGCCGCGAGATCACATACGAACCGCGAGAAAGTGGAAAGGCTTTGGGAAAGTCGTGACGAGCGCATGGAAGGAATCGTATTTCACAGCCCTCACCTAGAGGCTCAGCGACATAGGC